ATATATATATATTTTTTTTTCTTTTTAAAATTTATTTTTGTATAGGTGAAGAAAACATTATTTGGCAGAATGAATCCTTTTCCACAAAAAAAGATTATTACATTTAATAAACACACGAATGATTTCGATTTTCATGTAAATTATGCTGAGTTAGATTATTTGCCTGCTAATGAGGTAATGTAAGTATCTACAGCTATTATTTATTTGTAATAAGAACGAGTTAAGAACAGAAAATAGATTAATGTTATTTTAAATATCAAAATGTTCATACTTCTAAAACTATAGAAATCGAATTTTTTACAGTTCTATTGGTGATTTACATTTATCTACTATATCGCTGAGTGGTGTAGCCGAAGCTTTAGAAAAGCATGCCAACGAAGGCGCCGAGAGTAAAGGAATCAAAGTGCACTTTAATATAGATGATAGCGGCGTATTGAATTTATTGACCGTAGAATTAGTTTCCGAAAAATCGAGTACTGTTGATGAAGAAGAGGGTACTTTCTCAATACTTGGCTCAACTATTAGTAAATTCTTTGCAGGTTTGTGCCGAAGGCAATGCAAAAAATGATACCATTTGTTTTTGTTGCATGTTACGAATCACAATTTTGATGATATTTGCACTATACTAGTTCTTCTTTGTATTCTGTTGGTATATATTGAAGAACTGTTTTATTTCTCAAGGAAAGACTTGTGTTATTTTTATAACTTTATAAAAATTAAAAAGTTATTTCATGTTACGTTTTGAAATCATTTTTTGCAAGCATTTTTATATCAAGGAATAAGTGGATGCTTTAAAAAAAAAGATAGTATTATCACTGAGCAGGCCTAGATTTTATTGTCGTTAACAATTAAACTTTTGTAGCAATACAAATTCTAAAAATTTATAAAATAATTTATACATTAGAAAAATTTATACATTAATAGAATAATTTATGTTAATAGAATAATTCCTGTTAACGGTAATATTTTGTATTCATGGAATATTCATGTCAATTATTTCGTTATATAATTTTGAAGACAAGTTAATTACGCTTAAATTTGCATAAATAGTTGTCAACGACTCTATAAAACTCTAGGCCCTAATTATAAATTATGTAAGTACAGAGAGAAACACATTAAATGAAGTTTTAATTTTTCAGGTTCTTCTTTAGAAAAAGAAACGGTAGAAAAAACAGAGGAACCGTCAAAGGAGGATATAAAACCAGTGCATGAACCAGAATTTTCGGAATCGACAAAAGAGACAGATGAGAAGGAGAAAAAGAAAAGTGAGACAAAAGTGAACGAAGAGAAGACTGCAAATAAAACCGAGAAGACGGACAAAGAGAAGAAGGCTACGATCGTTCAAATTAAAGAACCTATCAGTTCGAAAGAGGTCAAATTAGGATCACAAATCTTGTCCGGTGAAAAACTCACAGAAACTCGAGACAAGTGAGCATAAATATTATATATTTATTTGCAATGTAAAGTAATTAAATTATTTCCATCTTTAATATTCTGCTAATTTAAATTTGTTAAATAAAACTGTTAGTGTAACTTTAATTTTTTATTGCCACTATCTCTTTTCTCTTAAGAAAATAATCTGCATAATTATGATAAATAATTATAATATAATTTCTACTATTACTAACATTTTATTAACATTTTATTTATTTTTTTCTTTTAGGATACATCATTTGGATGTGCACGATTCGGAGAAAGCGCGTCGTGAGACTGCGTTGAACAACCTCGAATCATACGTAATCGACGCACAGCAAAAGTTCGATTCCAAGGAATTTTCGGACGCGGCTACCGATAAGGAGATCGAGGAGGTTCGAAAAGCATGCGCCGAGATCTCTGAATGGTTGTATGAGGACGGATTCACCGCGACCGCAGAAGTGTACGAAGAGAAATTGATGGAACTCCAAAAGTTAACCAACGACGTTTACGAGAGGGTCTCCGAGTACCGAGATCGACCAGAAGTCTTAAACGGAATGGTTTCGCTACTCAAAGGCAGTAGATTGTTCTTAGAAAATATGCGCAATTTGAGTCTAACGAGTGAAGTCATTACATCTGTTGAAATTGAGACGTTAGAAAAAGCAATCAATGAGACACAGGTAATAGCTTATTTTTTAATATCTAAAGCGATTTTTAAATTGAAACATGCTATTATTATAAGTCTATAATATTAGTGTAATAAAAAAAATGATATTTTAGGATTATTATGATATAGTTTCAAAATATTTCGTGGATGCGCCGCTAAATATACCAGTAAAATACAAGATCCGCCAAATTGTGAATAAAATGGATCTACTCGATAGAGAAATTAAATATCTTTTAAACAAAGTAAAGATTTGGAAACCAAAACAAGAAACTACGGCAAATCAAACAACAGATAGTAAGACCGAGCGTACGATAGAAGAAAATAAAGAATCTACAACCAATTCTGATGCTAAAAATGACAAATCTGCGGAAGAACAACCGTCCGATAATGTGGAAGAGCAGCAACAAGAACTAATATCAGAAACAACGGATACAACGGAAACACAGGATCCGTTACAGCTACCAGAAAACGAGAAACCATTAACTAAAGAGGAAGTTCAGAAAGAAACGCATCATGAACTATAAGAAATAATTTATTTAAAAGTGTGATTCTCTGTTGTTGATCGACGATACTCGTCGATTTAGGCAATTTTCTGTAGATTATTTTCGTCAGATGCATTTAAGATCGAAGCGGGAATTCTCTTATGCGTTGCCGATGTATAAGTTATTCTGCGAATGTGAATATAAGCTGTTCCATTTAATTAATAATATGTATCTATTTATACAAGGATATGATTTTCATCGTTCATTTATTACATAATTAGTATTGCAAAATTGTCGATCTTATCAAAGATAATTGTGTTATACAAGTGCCAAGTGATAGCAGCTCGTGACAATTTATTTATTTGATACGCGAACACGCATAAAACTGTCCAGTGTGAGATTTATCTTGAATTTTTAAAGTATAAATTTGTGACTTTACATGTAAAATATTTCTGCTGCAAGCATATTTTAATTAATATTCTATCATATGAAGCAGTATAAAGCATATTATTGCTTATAAAAACACGAACGATGAGAACGTGCATAAAATAATTTTCATTCATAAAACAATTCTTGCATATCTTTCAGAAAAAATCTTTTTTCTTTCAGGGAATGTAGTTACGAATCTTACATTCTCGCAAATGTATATCAGTAGTTTTCGAATGAATTTGTCACATTTCCTATATATAATGCATTGATTTGTATTATCTTTTTTATAAACGAAGATTCACATAAGTCTACTTTTTCTTTATTTACGATATCATATTAAATAAATATGACATTTCTAATAATCTATTTCTTGAAAAAGTGAGATAGAATGTATAGAATATTGATTGATATTTTGTAAATGAATATAATGATTTACATGATGTAAGATGGATAAAAAAAAATTTCTATTTCTTGAAAATTATAAGACAAAATTGTTTCTTTGGCTATATAATTTAAATTAATTCTTTGAAAATCACATAATATTCTATTGCCAAATTAAAGGACGTTCGAATTAAAATTGTCATTCCAATTTATAATTGTAAATTTAAATATTATTCATATTTATTAATTTGAACTAATAAAAAACATATAAAAGAAAGAGAGAAGGAGGAGAGGAAAGATATTGGAATAAAGAAACAAACTGTATTGTATGTGTCACCATTATTTTTTTTATAAGTATGACAAAATTATTGAAAAATTTAGTTTTCCGCGGATAAAAAAATTAAATATTGCAATCACAGACCTTCATATTTTCTTCTAGTCTTCTTATTTTTAATCGATTTCTTAATTTAATTTCTCCTGCCTAATTTTTTTTTATCAACTGACTTTTACTAGTAAGGTTATGTACACAGTATCGTCTGCCTCTTTCACTCGCGCTCTTTCAATTTTTCTTTCTAAACATTAAAAATCAAAACGTTTTTATTTATGTTAATGTAAAAAATATATGGGTGAAGACTTTAAAGGAAAATTAAGAATAAAGAAGTTGTCAGAAATTGTCGACTCTAAATTAAAAAAAAAAACGTGATTAGAGTATACATTAACCTCTGGAGCTGATGGTGGGTCTATTAGTCTATATTAGACTCACTATAAACCTCTAATTATAAATCTCTATAAAAAATATCATTTTTTTTACATTTGAAAATTTGAATTATTCCTATTAAAATATACTTAATATTCTTTCGTTTTTATATTATTATTATTTGTTATATTATTTTTGTTCTTTGAAATTAATATCTTTTAATTAATATAAATCAAACAGCATCAGTAATTGTGTTACAGATTTTAGTATCAGCTCCAGAGAATTAATTATATTGTTAAAGTATGACAATGCGTCAAATTTTCACAAAATTATGGAAAAATATTAGTCCTGTAATGGTGAGAATACAATTCATGTGATATTTTAATTTTTATTTTTAATTACATTAAAAGAATCTCATAATTTATTTGTAGTATACATCAGGTATGTTATTTGCACATTGTACCTCATTCGACAAGTCTAGTGAAAATGAGAAGTTGAAGCTGGATCCTCCAGATATAAAAAAGCTAACCCATGAATATATGATAAAACAATCTGCATTGGATGCTGCTAATAGTGCAACCCAGGCATTAACTGTCACATATATGGCTATAATAGATCTGAGCGTCGCATACAGGTAACAAAATAATAATATAGGTCTAGAGGAAAATAAGATATCTCTGTGTATGTCTCTCTGTATAATGTTTATCATGATAATTTTGTAGAATATTGTTGAACGAACTCATTTCTCTTCTCGAAGAAACTATAATACACAATGTAAATGATGCACACTGGGATCTGATTGTGGAAGTACGAAATGAAATGCAAGACAAGAAAGAAAAGATTACGGTAATAAAGAACTGCTTGAGAAACTACAATTCTTGCTTGATGTAAAATTTTATATATAATATCACAGTCCGAGTA